AAGGACTAGCGTCCGAAACGTCAGTAAGTTTTTTCATCTTTTCACGATGTATAATTTACCCTTTTATCATTACTGTTTCATTAGAAACACCGACGCAGCTCACACTAGTTTTTAGCTAGTTATATCTTCATATTTTTTTAAAATAGCATAGCAGATGAAAAGTATATAAAGTTAACAGTGTAGTTAAAATTTGGAAATACGTTAAAAATAGTTTTGAAGCGGCAGGGCTCTTAAAGTCTACCCAAATGCGACCTTCGACAGCATGAGCTATCCAAATAGCCAGACACGGGCAAAACATGTTTTGGCGTTTAACGAAGCTCAAAATTAAAATTATTTAAAAAAATTTTTTTTCTAGTTGATGCATACCAAAATCTTTTCCCCCACAAAAAATAAAGAGAATCGATTTTGCGAACCCAAATCCACCGGACCGCTCTTAGCGGGAGAGCCCAATATTAATTCTTTCTGAATAAAGTAGTTCTGCACGTCTGAGGAATGAGCTTTTATCCTGTAATTCCAAAACTCACAGAAAAGAGCACGTTAAAAGTAGTAAAACTGTCAAGTTTGAWGGAAGCAAGCTCAAAAATCGCGAAGATATAAATTTCCAAAAATCAAAATTTTATAAGAGAACCTTTGTTGGAGGCATCTCATGCCCTTGGCGAGTTTTTAAAATTTTTATTTTTATTATTTTAACATGCTTTTTCTAACTAGGTTTCACTAATTCAGAAAAACATAGTCTTGCTTAGTATGGCACGTCTAATGAATTGACGGAATTGATTAAGATCCGTTATCATGAAATCGAATCCTTCATGGTTTGAATTGAAAACTTCGATGGAATATTCCGATTCATTTCATACTTTGTTTTATAGCATTTAGGTTCGATATTAGTATAATAAAACCGTGAAAGAAAAAAAAACCCATTTCATTGAAGTGATACGATATCCCTTCACGGTAAACTTTGAGATTTTATCGGTATCGACCTTAAATGTGTAATATTTGATATATTTTTATTCAATTGTTTTCCATACGATATCACTCACTTGCTCTCGGACTTGCATGTTTGCGATATGATATGAAAACTCGAAAGAAAAACGCGATAGCAATGTGATAATCCTATTCATAGTTGCATAGTTGGTATGGGGTTTTCCCGACAAACTAGAAGATAAATCATCTTACTAGTCAGTAACAAATATTTGTTCGCATTATAGTGCTAAAGGAGAAATAAGAGTGTAGCGCAGCCCTATCGTATCCCTAAAGATCGAATTGGAATTTACTAGAAGTTGATTTTGAATTTAGAAGTTGACTAAGAGAAGCGACGCATTAGTGACTCACGCCACTAGTCGCCTTCCCTCCCGTATCTTATCTCATGTAATATTAGAATGATTGTTAACAAAATTAATTAATTATTCTTGTCTGGTTTGTGGCGTCATCTCAAAGCGCCGGTTCTTTTCCAGAAAGTCGAGCGTAGTGGCACGATCACATTAAACCTGTATGAAGAACCAGATAAATTTAAGTCCACTTTTAGTCTTCACGATGTAATCGATCGAGTGACTGGAAAACGTAATGTATGAGCAATTGGAACGGCTTCCCGGAATAAGAATGGGTATCATACSAGAGTATGTAGAAGATACCGTACTAGTGACAAACGCATGGTACTGACATGCCATAATATTCAGGGACCGCGGAGCAACCTAAAAAGTGAACGACATTAAGTAACATTAAAATGGCTTTCCATAAGAATTGTTAACGTACGAGTAGGAGATGTACGGTACTGATTTGGCAGCACTTACAGGGTACGACATGCCGTAACATTGAAATGGATTCCCATAAGGATGGTTATCGTATGAGTAGGAAACACACGGTACTGACTTACAGCACGTACAGGGTACGACATGCTGTAACATTAAAATGACTTCCCATAAGGATGGTTATCGTATGAGTGGGGAACGTACGATACTGACTTACAGCACGTGCACGGTACAACATGCCATAACATTGAAATGGATTCCCATAAGAGTGGTTATCGTATGAGTGGGAAACGTACGGTACTGACTTACAGCACGTACACGGTACGAAATGCCGTAGCATTGAATTGACTTCCCATAAGGATGTTTATCGTATAAGTGGGAAACGTACGGTACTGACTTACAGCACGTACAAGGTACGAAATGCCGTAACATTGAAATGGCTTCCCATGGAGATGGTTATCGCATGAGTGGGGAACGTACGGTACTGACTTACAGCACGTACACAGTACGGCTACGGTACTGACCTACAGCACGTACACGGTACAACATGCCGCCGTAACATTGATTTGGATTCCCATAAGGATGGTATCGTATAAGTGGAAAAGGTACGGTACTGACTTCCCGACTAGTACTTTATCTGATTAGGTATGCTTAATTTCCCATACTGACTCCACTTATATACATAACCAATCAGTAAAATTTGATGCTGCAAAAACGAGGAGAAAGTTTCTCTATTTTTCAGCATTTGCCTCGGCTGTCATTATTTTGTTATATAATTTAGATATAAACGTAAATGCAGGAACGTTGTATATATATATACACACTTGATTGCAGAAAGGGTGTAGTAACATGCGAAATATCAAATGAGATGCAAAACTTAAAAAAAACTTATTTGGTCTCATTTATCTTCTATTGTATCAGAGACATAAGTATTGCACAAAGCAATGGTGGATCCAGGATTTTTCAAAGGGGGGTTCCGTTTCTTAAACTGTGTATAATTCTCTTTTGTTTAGTCGATGTTTGACAAAAAATTGGCTCTAATCAACTAATTTACTATCTAGTAACGGAACTTAAAGGTAAATTAAACATTATAACAGCAAATATCTATCATTTCGTGTTCAACATTATCCTTGTGGATACTTTTAAACAAAATTTATATAAGACATACATTTCTATTACCTAAAAGATCAAACCTTCAAGGAGGGTTCCGTGGACCCCTTCGACCCCCCCCCCCCTCCCCCCTGGATCCGCCACTGCAAAGACATGTTCAAAAAGTTTTTTTCCACAAAATTTTGTGGTTAAACAAACATATTCAAGCATGTTTTACCTTCTGCATTTCATTTAATATCTTGTATCTCATTAGGTATCTGTATGTATGGCTTTTGTGAAAAAGTGATGAAACTACATAGAAAAATTAAAAGTGCGTTGAGCTGGCGCCAAATTTGACAATGTCGCGTAGGGCGCGTAGGAAAGGCGTAAAAATATAGGATGCACGTCTGATACTTGATTAATAACGGATCCATGAAACCAAATCCTTAACGTTTATTCTCATCGTTTGAATAGAAAACTTTGATGAAAAACAAGATAGTTTACTTTATTTTACTACACATTTGGTTTYGATAACAGTGTGATAAATCTCGATATTTAACGCCATGAATATCCCTTACTTCAGGGTAAACTTGAGTTTTGTTAATTGTTATCAATAAACCCAACAACGCAAATTAAAACTAGCACAAAACTACCAACACTGAAATAGGAATTAATAACTTTCTTAGCAAAACTGGTACTGAACTTTTTCACTGTCTTAAAGGTATAGGCTGGCATTTTTTATATTACCTTGCAGGGATGCACTAATACAGTTATTAGAATCAAAATGAAATGAAAAATGTAAATTTAAGAATATGATACGTGAACAAAGCGAAC